AAACGCCTTGGTCTTTTGCACTTTTAACTTGCTGTTTTTGGCTATCCATTAAAGAGTTTACTCCCACAAGAGACACAAGTGTCCAAAGATATCCCTCCCAGTGTCCCAGCAGTGCTCTCCACTTTTAGTTATTTGTTTTTGCTGGCCTTTCACCCTGAAATGGAGATTGGTTCTGTTTTTGTCAGCTTGTGTGTATGGTATCTCTTTGAGGATAGTCCTCCCTGTAATGTTTTAACAAACAAGTTTAGACAAATGCCAACCAATATCAAATAAGTAATGTAATGTAAATTAGGCTTAAATGGGGTTGATCAGTATCTTTATCTTATTATCTGCTTGCAATAGTTATTGAAAAATTCTTGATGACACCAAATCACTGCAAGCTCAATGTAAAAGATATATTGCAAAGAGAAATAGCATTTTTCCGAGGGACAGAGAGAGAACAGAGGCACCATGTTGACGTAAGTTTGTCGCTGTAGAATCAGAGGCAGCGTCAGTCAGACAGACAGGCGGAGTGTCCTACAACATGTGGCTGGAAGCGATCTGAACAAATAATGTTACCTCTTTGGTGCTAAGGTTGTTCAATCTTCTGTAGTTTTCTCTATTAGTATTCGGATTTAGTGGCTAGTCCTTGTCAGTGACTCTGCACGTCACAAAATAAAGAAGTGCTAGAGTGACAGTCTATGGTACTTCTGTCTCAGACATTGTAATGCACTCTCTTCAAGTGTCCATCACTCGAAAGCAGTCAGCTCACATTCTGTCGGAGTTCACAAAGCATCTTGTCAAATTAGGAGTCAAACAAGTGTGCCGTATGACCACGGAAGGAATGATCTATGCACATCAAAAATGTCTCCATCAGGTTAGTGTTATATTCTTTTTTTTTTTTGGAAAATAGTTGGATAGGAATGTAGTTACATTGACATCCCACAAGAATAGCACGAGACTCATGTTTTCAGCCAGAAGGTCCTGTGTCGGACCGGGCCTTTCAACACAAAGTTTGCATGCGGTGTCTGGGTGGGTTTCTCCAGGTTCTCCAGTTTACCCCACCACCTGAAACATGCACTATAGCTAAAATAAGTAAGCTTTATTTAAACATCGTCTTTCACAGACCAAGGTCACAAAGCGCTTCACAGTATAAGCAGATACAAAATAGTTCTGGTTCTGGTCTTGACCAAGCTGAGCATCAACATCTGGAGAAGAGTCCCCAGGGTGCGACCCCTGCGCAGACCACTGCTCCAGACAGGTTTCCCTCGAGTGGGTCAAATGCAGTGGACAATAGAATATACCTTAAAACCTTAAAAAGCCTCATCTTCATCAGACACCTCTCGTGACGACCCATGTTGTAACATTTCAGCTAATCTTACCAGATGTTTGGTATCCATGCTTTAGAATAAGAGCCCATTTGAGTAAGATGTTTTTTTCTCCCAAAAAGGATGTGTGAGTGTGAGTACCTTCTGTCTGCTCTGCCCTTTCCCTCCCTAATATCCATCCATGCAGAGATGACTCTTGTCTCTCCAAGCTTTCCCATGAGCCCTTGGCCTGTTCTCTGTTTGTTTGTGTGATCTCTTCCCTTAGGCCACTGTTCCACATCTGTGGAGTCTGTGTGTATTTGTATCTTTTGTGTATCAGTGTGCCTGTGTGCGGTGTACAGTGTGTGCGCAGTATGAGTGTGTAATCCCTTCCCCGAGGCCACTGTTCCACACAGCTGGACTCACAGAGCCTCTGGAGGCCTGTGTGCTATTCAAGCATCCTTTGCTCTTTCCACCTGACCAGTTGGTGTGTGCTGTATGTGTTTGTTTTAACAGGTGCAGTACCGAGAGCTGAAACAGGATCCCAATCCCAGTCCAAATAAAAGGAAGAAAAACAACCCCGGGTAGATGACTTTGTCCGCCCACCATCTCCTCTTTTCTCCACTTTACTTTGCGGCTCCTTCCCTGGACACGGAGGAGCGGCAGGAGACGGACATTTTCAAATCTATTCAACTATTCTAATCTGTTTCCAGTTATCAAGTTCATCCACTGACTGAACAATATCACTTCTGAGATATCAAAAGGAGGTTTCAATGATGACTCTTTTCTTATCCATGTGCTGGTCCTTCTATCCTTGTCAGAGGACTCACACAATGTCAAATAATGTTGCAACGGTTTTACAAAGTTTTAATAATTGAACATACTTTATACATCAGTTGTGTCTATCAGAAAGCCTTATCCTTACATTGGGCATAATCAAGTTGCAATAGATAATTTTCAATATTTATGAACTGCTTTTTGGGATGTATTTATAGTTTTAATTGTTTTTATATACTTCCAGCTTGAATGTGGTAATGATGTTATGTTTGCTGCGAGTAATTTAAATCGTCTCCACTTAACTCTGCCAGCCAGGCTGATTAGCAATTACAGAGGTAGCCTCCAGATCCTTTTGCTTCCACAAACAAAAAGTGGACAAACAAGCTGGAGGCTCGTGCTGCTGTCTGTGTCCAGAAAAACTCTTAACGCATGTTACATCAAGAAAATGTCTTCCTGCTTTTTTGTCACACATGGTTTACAGAATGGCACTGCAAACTTTAAACAGTCTGAATGCCTGACTATTGGTTGTTGTGTCCTCTTTCTAAGACAGCCCAGCGCAGAGTGTTGATGGAGATGTCATACAGTCTATGCAGAGTGTCGCCAAGCAGTGAGGCCTGCAGGCAGCCACAGCCCTAATCGTGTTTGAAAGGCTGGTCTCCTTTCCTTTTTCCCCCCTCTGTGTGTTTTAGCTTCAGTGGCCACACACACCTCTCAATCCATTTACAGACAGATGCACAAAGAATGCACAGGCTATGTTCTACTAGCACTCAGATAAAACCAAACATCCCATTTGCACTTTCCCTGGCTCTCAGGCACACAGACACATAAACACGCTTTCTGTGATGCCTTGCCCCGGGCTGGCCGCTCTCTCCATCTGCCCCACCTCATGTGCCCACAGCTCAACTTTGATCTGTCTCTCTCACACAGGGACTGGTGTATGTAAACCACAGTGTGTGTACTGTTTGCACGTTTATGCAATCAAAGACATGATGTTCTCCTTAATGTTGCTATGTGTTACCATTGTGTACCCTGCAGCTGATGCAGGATGTGAAGATCTGGTCTGTGTGTGTCAGCATGTTCAAATATGTCTACATATGTCTGTGATGTGACAGCTATTCATACAGCTGGAAGAGAAATTATCATTCACTTAAACAACGAGAGGCTTTGAGATGACTGTGCCGAGATTTCCAGCTCTGTGGGCCAGAATATGGGAAGAATAATACTTTTGGGGTTTGTTCTGAATTGTGATGAGCCAAAACCTCTGATTTATGTTTGTTAACAGTGTGTAATTTATTATGGGATTATTCATAGTTCTCTCTAAATGATGTTCTCTGGTGAATATTGCTAGGTCACTAGTTATCGTTACAAAGCTGGGGTTGGCTACCTATTTTCTTTCTTATTCAACACCTTTTGTCTCAACAATACAGTCTATGGTCTCAACAGAAAAAAAACTCTTGTAAAAGCCAAGTCTTGTGAACAAATCAGACCACCACATACAGTCTCCATCTTATTAGAAAGCAGGTTATTTATTAAATATTTGTATGAAAGAGCCGTTATATATGTATTTTTTATTTTACGTTTTGGGTTGAGAGCTGATTGGCTGTGTGAGGGTGGTCCTGTCTGAAAATCTTGAGCTAAATATGTGACAGAGGCCAAAAATCACCAAACAGTTTTGAGAGATAGGAATTAGATGATTTTTTTTTTTTATCACTTATTTTGTTGTGACTTGAAAGTGACATACCCCAGCTTTAAATATGTTTGGCAAGTGTTAACTATTGATTGCGTATGTACTACTAGTGCTGTTTGCCATTTACTTTTAGTCAAGCTTCCTCTGTGGTCCGCTCATTCATCCGTGTAGCTGGACTCCACTCTTGAGCATGTGTTGAAAGATCTGAGTTCAGCCTCCTCAGCCGCTCTCATCCCTGGCTCTCCATCTTGGTGCCCCTTTGTCTCCTGCCGCCTCTTTTCTTTCTGCCATTTTGTCAAATGCCGAACGGCGCGCCACATACAGTGCTCTTTAACCGCGCAGCCCTACCCCCTTCTCTTTCCCCATCCATCTCCATGCTTAAATATCAACAGGCGCGGATGTGTCACTCCAGAGGGCCATTGATTTTGTTTTGTTGTTTTGAGGAATCCACTTGGAAAGACAATAACGGACTGTCCCTGAAGAGAGGTGTCGCAGACTGATTATAGCCCGCCCCTCCAAACACACTCGTCTCTCATGAAGGATGGCTTTTCACAATTCCTACTAGAAATGATCGGCAGAAATATTTGCGTTAACTGTGTGTACATATCTACAGTTGTAATTTTTATACACAATTTAGATTTGGGAAAGTAAACCAAAGTGTTTTTTTTGTCATGTAGAGATAATTTATGAAGGAATGTATTAGAACCAGAGCGAAATAGCACTTTTGTTGCGTTTAAATGAAACTTATTTATTTTTCAAAAAGTACTGTATATATTCATTGTTGCATTTTATACTGTATGCCTGTTAACAATGTTATAAAGTATGTGGTTGCCTGCCTTATTTTATAACATGTCTTTTTGCGTTTGCATTTGTTTCCTGCCTGTGACATTGTTCTTCATGCAGTAGGACAAATACTGAACCATGAGGAAATGTAGCAAACGTATACAGTATTTTGGCTTGAGAAAGAAATTGTCAGCTTATTTTGAAAATAAATGAAAAGAGTAATACAATAATCTTCCAATAAATATCTTTTTTAGAATTTCCTACGAGTGTAGGTGTCTCAGTTAATTGAACTCATAACTCATAAGTAAAACGTTTTATTTAGATGATAAAAATGTTATATAATATACTAGTGTCTAGATCATCAGATTCAGTTTAAAAAACATTGAAAAACAAAAGTATCAAAAAGGCAACATCACATTTGGTAAACATATTTGCTGTCGGCTAATATGGATTTAATTAATGCAACTTCAGGATTTCTTTAACTGAAGAACCAGTTGTTGCCCTTTGGACTTCAGCACAGCCAATTTCTCCATTAAGAACTGTGTGTTTTTTCCTTTGCACTCTCTGATTGGTGTTGGAATCAGTCCATCATAATCACCTCGACCAACTTCCATTACTGTCATTGCATCCTCCAGCAGCCTCACTGCCTGCTGGTCTTTCCACGCTGAGGTCACAGTCTGAAAGGAGTGCATCTGCAACGCTCTGAGCATCCTCTGGCTCAAACTGTGATCTCCAGCTTCACTTTGGTCAAACTCAATCAGTTCCTTCTCCTGCTGGTAAGAGATCAGGAGGTGCAGCAGCAGGCAGGAGCCAGCCTCCAGGAGAGGCAGGTTCTGCACCTCCGTGGACTTCCTCCTCTGGGCGTTGTCTCGAGTTAGAGCACAGTTGAAAAGCTCCTCCCTCTGAGCAGCATCTGTCACCAAGTCCAGAGCCGTCTCACCGCTTGGATGTTTCTGATGTAGGATGACTGAACCTGCGGACACAAAGAATCAACAGCTTAACTTCATTGTCTTATTCATACATTACACATACACAATATATGCATTTACTTTATTTTTTTTTTCATTCTTGTTTTATGTCACATATTTCTTCTTGTTAATAGTTAATGAATGAGCCACACACAGAAGACATCGTTGGTCTCAGTGACAGCAGCACCACATATAGTGAGCCCACGCAAGGCAGTGTCATCATCAAATAAGGCGGAAGAGACAGTGCACGGGTCAATGGTGGGACACAGCAACAGATATAAATAGTTCATCGACACACAGCTGAACACATATGTTGCAGTATATACACACACGCACACACACACATACACAAGAGTGACGCAGAGCTTAAGTGAACAGCTGGTTTCCCACCGGGCCTCGGTGCCAGCCGAGGCTTCTAGCTCACTTCAGTGCTAACTTCAGCTGACACCTTGTCTTAACTGTGCAACTGGTGGGTCACATTGTGTTTGTGTAAGAAATGTACAGGGTTAGTGATCTGATGTTGAGGACCTCTACTTAAGCTTTTTTATGCTTTGCTATTGGTTTGACTCCAACTTCTCGACAGTGAGAGATGAAGGAATGAGAGAAAGACATAAAAACAAATGAAGAAAGAAGCACAGCAAAGAAGAATGTGATTTTTTAGTGACAAAGCTTTTATCAACAGCTTGTCCCGTTTGCCTTGATAGAAGAGAATGTTCAGATCAGGCTGAGATCATCATAGTCAAAATGAAACATACATATACATTTAGGCATATATATATGATTGGCACTTTCGGTCTCTTTTTTGACTTTTCGCGTTTGCCCACCGATGTACTTTGGTGAGCCAGACAACCTGTGTGCACTCAGACAGAGAGAGAGCAGGTCGAGTCAAGTGTTAGCCTTTTGTTTGCTTTCAGATACACCCGTTTCTGAGGCAAACTGCTCTTGATGGCACTTGACTGTTCAACCTTAGTTACAGCGCTGCCTCTTGTGATGGAGTTTACAGCTCTGCAGTGGCTTTGGGAACACAATAACAAATGGAAAACGCATATATGTCTTTGGTGACAGTGGAAAATGCTACACTGCAGAGTAGTGATTTAGTAAAAGGCGGTTCAATCATGTAAAACAGAGCAACGCTACACTTTCTGGCATTGTCAGCTTTTTTATTTTTTAGATACAGTTCAAATTGAAGGATTATACATTCTGAAATTGCTCTCTATCACCGCCTCCGTCACTGAACTTCCATTGTGTTAGTGAGATAATCAGTTAGAACTCACGTAGCTGTTAGCAAGGAAGGTCAGCGCTCGTCTACCTTTTAGCGCTTCAAGCTGTGGTGGCGAAAAACTCAATCTGCATAAATTGTGGCATTAATCTACATAAACTTTTACATAAGCGGGGACATTTCGAATGCAGAGGTCAGCCATTGGGGGCAGCAGTCAAGGACATAAGAGCAGCAATTTGATCAAAGTGGCCACCAGAGAGGAGCAGAGGAGGGGAGAGAGAGAGAGCTTGTTCACAGAGGGTCATAATCACTGGGTTTCTGTAACAAGCTGTCCTCGCTGTTAAACTCATCTGGTAGGAGTGGCTTGCACACTTGTGAACCCAAGCGTGGTCGACACATTGAGAGAGGTTCTGGTCCACCAAGCCCACTAATTCAATCGGCTGTGCAACCCAAAAGAACCATACATTAAATAAAGTCATTTCCCATGCTTTGAATCTGATCGTTAAGATAAGCTTTCCAAGATACAATGGTTTTGATACTGTATATATTCAAGGGCTGATTATTGTGGTGTAACTTATATTATCATACTATAAATTACGTCAATCAAATTCAAAACAACATGTATCCGAAAATATCTCATGTTCTCTCCTTAAGGACCCATGTACGCATCCTACACAATCACGAAACCAGCATTTTGTGTATTCTAAAAATAATGTGGTATAATAAGTAATGAGTTCTACTGTACTTTCTCCGAATTCATTTTAATTCTGCTAAAAAACATTCCCTGGAGAATTCCACATTTTGCTACACACAAGATAACCCACTCAAGCCTCCCTGACTATAATTATTCGTTAATTACGACATTCTACAAGGAAAGAATAACACGCAAAGGCGCTTTTAAATTCCACATTGCTTGTGCTATGAGACCGTTGTCGGGGGAATGGCTTTAGAGCAAAGACCGCGAGTGATGTGAATCCAGGTATTGGGGCCCAAGTGTCAAGATATTCTGCTGTAGAGATAAATGCCGCACCTGAGGGAGTTACACCGCAGCACAAGGTAATTACACTATCCTATGTGTGCGGAGCGTGTGTGCGTTCGCGAGTGTGAAAATGCCCAGCTTAGAGCCAAGAGGGAGGGCTACTGCACATGGCAAGCTACTGGCTGATGCACTGACCAGATGTAACTACGCACACATTTCTCAAAACGGCAGAGCCCTTTGGCCTTTAGAGGGCAGGCGAAGACAAGAAATATTGTGAGTGGAGGAGGGAGTGAAATTGGCGCAAAAAGAGGCAAAGGGGAAGAGAAAAATGCAGCTACAAGCCCTCCCCCTATGTCTCAATGTCTCGGGTCTGAGGCAGGCGAGCTTGAGAGCAGGCGGCTCCACAGAGCGGTAAACATCCTCTCCTCCTCTCCCCATCACAGGCTGGAAAAGAGTGTGAACTGGAGCCAGGGGCACAGCGCAGCACACATCCACAGGGAGCAGCGAGGGTAGGCTGCAGCGACTAGAAACAACAAGGCCAGCCGAGTGGAGCACCAAAGCAGCACCAAAGGAACTGGCTGAGAAGCATCAAACGCAGGGGCAAAGGGAGGCGCAGCGGCAGCATGAGACTAATATATGTTCAAATCCGTCTCCTTTAGTGGAGTTAGTACCTGGACAAAACATGTACAGAGATATGCCATCTGATTATAATCCTACAATTAACTGATTGTTAATTAATAATAATGATAAAGCACAACAAACTGTATGTAAAATGTACTTTCATGAGCGTGTATATTCATGGTTCAAATGTGTTTTCCACACACAAGGTATATTTAGATTGATTCATGTTTTATTGATGGCGTGTAATGTCTTGGCTCACAGCTCTACTTGCAATTGTTTTGAAAATTCAGATTTTTCAAAACCTTTAACCAACTTTTCTTAAAATAAAAAAACACGTTGCTCAACGCAGACAAGAGTAAAGGCTTTACTTTACTGCAGTTTGAAAATGGTAATGGACCCATTACTTTCTTCAGCCATTTAAAAAGAGATATTGTACTTAAGTGTAAATAAGGATAAGATAATACTCTCATAGGTCTACTTAATGCCCTTGTAATAGTAGAAGTACTGTAGCAGAAGTAATCTCTGCAGTAGGTATGCAATATATAGAGTAAAATGTAGAAATTCTGATACCAACAACATATTTTAGTTCAAAATAACAAAGTAGCAGTTTTTGAACCATCAACAACAACACAAGTTATCTCCACAATAATTGATTTTTGTCTGTGCTTAAGATGCATTGTTAAACAAAACATGTAGCCTGAAAACGACCTCTGACCTCATGTATTGTGTACAGTGTTGCAGGAACATGCTTCTCCAACATCATACTATATTGATAATGCGGCTTGATGGCTTCTGCATTTAAAAAAATCATAGACGTTTTATGTATAAAATGTTAATTTATTATCTTAATATGACTGTATGACCTCTATTGCCAAAGGTCATGTCCATATTTTGCTGTGAATGCAAATAAAATTGCAGCCAAACACACATTTGTGCTCTAGTATTGAATATTTCTATGGAAAACCGTTTGTATTAGCTGTATTATATCTAGGTGCTGCACATGGCCTTGAAACTTCACTGTCAACGCTACAAAATCTGTGAACAAACTCCTGTCAATGTATAACATTTAGTTTACCAAGTAGCATGTTTTTCAGACCACCAGGTCCTTTTGTTGTAGAAACAAACAATCGGCATTTTAAATACCTTTGAGAAGAGGGCTCTGGAATACATAGAGTATATTCAGCGCACAGTAATGACAAAAGTGGACTGCGGCGTTTATTTTCTGTTTAGCCATAAAGTAATGAGCTCGTCTTTCTTAAAGAGGCTAAGAATATTCACAGATGAAGACTTTTTACTGTACCATTGGCCCCTTGCCCCTTAAAGAACAGAAAGTCAGATGTAACAAGAATCGATATGATTTGTGTGTGTGCGTGTGTGTGTGCGTGTGTGTGTGTGTGCGTGTGTGTGTGTGTGTGTGCGTGTGTGTGTGTGTGTGCGTGTGTGTGCGTGTGCGTGTGAGTCTCCTGAGGAAATGGACAAATAGGCACAAACCATGACTGAATGTTCTGGTCTGAAGGGACCCTGTGCTTGTTGTGCCATGGAGCAAATGACATCTTTCAGCTTGTTTCTGTTTGGAGGGACTTGAGGGACTATTGCACGGTGTGTATCAAGAAGGCATTTTTCCTTTAAGCACAAACGTGCACAATAAAAATTGCCTTTATTTCTATCAAACAAGACATATCACAAGAGTAATATAGAGTATTTCAATGTTTTATAGAATATCATAAATAATACATTTAAATACAAATTTAAAAACATTCACAATGAGTAATACAACTTTGCCGTAAGTGGTTACAATTCTCCGTATCGTAGAGCTCATCATTTATTTATTAATGGACAATGGAAATTGGAAGTTCTCATGTTTTAGGTCAGTTATTTTTACCTAACTAATTTCTAGTAGCTCAGTGCCACAGAAATGAGAGATGTAATTTTTTGAATTTCTAGTAATTTACTATTGTGCAATTCATCTCTGAACAGAGACTGGGACAATCCGCTCGGCGACCGAAACATTCTAGGAATGAATCATAAGGATATGTGATCAAATAAACATATGAGCAAGAAACTACTGTAGAGAACCTATTCAGTCGTTTTTTTGGAATTCTGTTGATGTTTAGAAGGATTTGATCTTCCAGCCTCAATAATTTGTTTAAGTTGGAAAAATGATGTTCATGAAAAGATGCCATCATAGACTGTGCTCACATGGTGCTGATGGCATTGAGGTTCTATTCTTTTGTCTCCGCCTACTCCCCTTACAGACTCTGAGAGTCTGAGAGTGCATGCCATGTCCCAAACTGCACGGCTTCAGGTCTTTTTCCATTCCAATCAGGAATATTGGGTGCCCTGGCCACTCCACAAAAATTCAAACAGCTGAGAAGGGGGAAGCATGAGCAGTTGTTGTCTCTTAATTAGAAGCCTGAAGATGCTCATTACAGCAGTTTGGATTCAGGGAAATATTTTGCATGCATACATAAGAGTATACAAAATGATATAGCCAAGGACTCATCCACGCTCACACTGAAATGAATACAAACCGGCGCAGACAGGGTCATGTGGGGCAGCCTTGGGCAATGCGAGGGAGGGGGCGTGTGGAATCAGCCTTGCCCTTAGCCATGGCATCCTTTGCTTGCCAGCTCCCTAAGCCTTAAGGGAACTGAGGTAGAGGGGGAGGATCCGCCAGTTCCTCCCCTCCTTTTTTTCTTTTTTTTTTTTTTTTTCACAATTCAATCCTAAAATGCACATAGCCTGAGCCTAGCAGTAGACAGGCGTACAATAGGGTGAGATCACCGAAATCGAGTGCTTTGTTTGTGTGCCAGGGTTGCCCTCTCTGGCCCAGCAAAACCCTTGGCAACCGAGTTCTCTTTTGGAGACAACTAGGACATGTTGGGTGAAGGCCTCAATGAGAAATATGATTCCAGGAGATCTAGTAAGCGCTCAATAAAACAAATACGAAAACACAGTAATAAATAAAAAGCAAAAAGCAATGAAAATGCATCTGGCCCACTAGCCTGCTTTCCTGTTCTGGGAACAAGCAGCAAAGTCTCCTGAGCCAAAAAAATTAAAAACAGCCTGATGTATGGGTTTTAAAACTGCAGGCACAAGCACAAAAATCTGTTCTCTTTTAAAAACTGGAAAGGACTTATAGACTGTTTTGGATAATTAACCAAGATCTGTGTTTCAGTCAAACATTTGAAACTCCATTTACAAATTCTGGACTAAAGCGATCACAATTCAGCACCATTCCACTCCATTTTGTCACCATCAAATGTTGGTTTTTTAACAATTAACCATTATCCAGTGACGAGTGGAAATGTATGATATTCTGAATTTGTTCTTGTGATACATGTCCTTTTGATTTGAATTGAAATAAGACAATATTATAATGATCCTAGTTTTAGAAAGTCCATAATCTGCATCCAAACTGCAAATACTAGATAACAATACACTGGAAAAGGATCATTGTGGAATTAAAATTGTATTCTCTTTAATTGATCCTTTAAATCACATGTGTCAGATGTTCAATGATTATGATTACCTTTCTGCATTGATGCCAATATGTTAAAATGGCTATCATGGCATGTTATCCCCAATTATAAAGCACATTTAAACAAGACAACAAATATGCAATTTCATTTATTCTAAAATGTGATAATTGGATACAGTAAAAGAATATTAAAAAAAATCTTTCTTTACCTTTTTTGTTTCAGCACAAAGTAAAATATATTTAACTGTAACTTTCCACTTCGGATACTTCGACTCTCGATCAAAATGAGTTATTGAGTTATGTTATTATTATAATTTTATATTATAGTATCTGTCTAGTGCAAGTATGTGTCAATATAAAAAGGCAGTTTCTACTTTTCTATCATTTAAAGGGAAATAAATCTCTACTGAGAAGGAGGGAAAAGTAGTTTGACACAGTCTGCAAGCCTTCAGGTTTTTCAGATGGAATATTCTTATCTGCTTTGCTTAGTCCCAGTGAAGAGACCTGACCTAGACAACAGGCCAGACGTCTGCAGCGCTCACACGTGCACACACTCACATGCACGTTCCACTGTGGCTGTTAATTTTACAGATACACAAAGCCGCTTCTTCATCTGACCTCTTTTAATTTGCTCTCTCTTCTGTTAGCGATAGAAAAAAAAAAAAACGCTCTTGTTTCCTCACCGGGACTAAACAATCCCAGTCTAATTTATTTTTGAGGACAGAATATGTACATGTGTTAATGGGAAAGTCGAATCAAATTAACTATAATTAGTCAAACTGAGAAGTGAGCCGAGGCAGAGGTATGCTACTTGGGAGACTTGTTTGACGCGGGCAAATGACACCCCTCCCCAAACTCCAGAAAACACACACATATTACTTGCCACCTGCTGCCGTGCCCCCCTTACACCCCCAAACCCCCCCCTCGCTCCCCCACCCCTCGCCCAATGCCGGAGCGATGACACCCATCATGCTTCAGCCCTCCAGAGCTGAGGAGCGCCTGGTACGTAAACACACCGAACTCGCTCTGTTGTGACACATTTCCACTAAAACGACGATGTAGGAATTTTGTATCCGACAGTTCATGACGCGTCTAATCACGTCAAAGAGGCATTAGCGGACAAGTTATGAGCATCTGAATGAACCAGTTTAGACACATACTGTACACGGAATTACAGGAGCAAGCAATGAGATCATCCACATTTCACTGACTGCAAACATTTGATTAGTAAACCGACAACCTGTAAACCTATATTGGCTCTATTTCACTTCAGTCTTATGACAATCTTATAATTTTTGCCAGTTTTTGCAGTGTTGTGTATGGTTAAAGTTTGTCTAAATTGTAAAAGCTCAAAGAAAAAGAAAGGAACACATTTGTTGATTAGTTTTATTTGTACAGTGTGGGTGAGTTTGTGAAAGATTAAATATGTTTTTACAGTGTGGATGAGTTTGTTAAAGATTAGAAATGTTTTTACAGTGTGGATGAGTTTGTTAAAGATTAGAAATGTTTTTACAGTGTGGGTGAGTTTGTTAAAGATTAGATATGTTTTTACAGTGTGCGTGAGTTTGAATGTAGACACAGTTGAATTAAATACTTTTGTTTTAGCAAGGGGAAAAAATGCATTAGCAAATGAAGTCAGCAGCACCATCAGTATGTACAGCGCCTCAGTATGCAAGAGTTGCTTGCTTTTCATCAACCTGCTCCCACTCATGAGGTCAAAAGCAGCTTTCAATCTATCCGTACGCACAGCTACAAATTAAAAGCCTGTCTTGGAAACCACAACTGTATTCAATCATTAGCTAAATGGCTAATTCTAAAGATTAGCTCAACCGCTGTCAACTGTTGGATGTTTGAAGGTGTTTTATTTTGACATTAAATGTGACAAGTGCCGCTTAATTCTAACACCGTCACGAGAAAGACAAATTAAATGGAGCGATACTTCAAGAAGCATGTGCCCAACTGGAAAGTATACACCTCATTAAAATACAGAGCCAAATGAATTCCAAATAAGTAATGCAAACTAGAGCTGGGAATCACGGGGGCCTCACAATTCCATGTGATCCACGGTGCATGGCTCACAATCAGACTTTTGTTGTTGAAAATATAAATATCTAAACTCTTAATAATTAAAGTTTCTCTAAAGAAGCAACAACGTAGCAGTGCAAAGCTAAATACATGTGTTCTGTTCACACGAGACAAACCTTCATGCTCTAGGAGAAGTTTGGCGATGTCCATGTGTCCGTTGAGTACAGCGTCATACAGAGGGCTGACTCCGCCCACTTGGCTGTCGACGACTGGAGCAGGACGATGACGTAATAAAGCCTGCACACATGCAGTGCTGCCGTGGTTACAGGCCTCATGCAGCGGGGTCCACCCAGCGTGGTCTAACAGAAGACACAAGATAATTAAAAGCACAGACTACAACAAGGTGTTTTATACTGGTGAGGAGAATACTTATTTTGATTAACAGCAGTGGGGCAATTTACAAACGACTTTAGAGACCCATACAAACAGCAGATGTGTAAAAAGGACTATTTAAACACAAAGCAAACAGCTAGCGTAACCAATATATTGTTCTTTATTGCCTTCCGAGAGTCACTCTAGATATGACCAATAGTGCTGAATAGCAACATGCTTTAAGTTCGATGTCACTTCTGCTTGTGAGAGGAATGAGTCCCTCAAACAGCAACATTTCCCACAGATAAATGAAAACCAGCCACTTCCGCGTATGACTGGAAACCTAACGCCCTTATTTGGGCATTCCGGGTCTGTTCCATTGCATGGTGACAGTATAGAACAACTTGAACAAAGCATCAAACGTCACAGTTTTCTTTAATCATCTAATGTTGCATCAAGGGTTATGCATTTTGAAAGCGTGGCCAAAAAATAATTCAATACAAAATAATTGATGTATTTAGTCAATAATAAAAAATATATAGTTTTACTGGTGTGCGGGAATAGACACTTTCCTAATCTGCACAATGATTTAAGCATGCATAAAATGTGGGAATAATAATGTTTTGAAATAATCATCATCCAAACATACCTTTCTTTCTTTAACTAATTGGTATATTTTATAGTCTACTCCACAGACCTAAAATCCGACTGATTTGGCTATCAGAGCAATCATACAAGCAACTATGGAAAGATTTATTTTGTTTTGTTTATGATCTAGTTTATGCAGTCCAATGAACTGTATATGCATTATTAAATCATACCTCAGATACATTTAAAGAGATACAATAAAGATACCAAGGTCTCTCACATTCTGGATGATGGCAACACATTATGCTCGACCTACGCCCCTGTACGGTCCATTGTTGCCGATAACATTCTTACATGTACAGGAAAGTTGATTCACCTTCGGTCTCCAAGCGACTGCATATCCATAAATCTCCAAACCCACCTCGTTGCTTTTAGACACACCCTTTTGCATTTTCGCTAAAGGTTACCCTCCCCAATGATGTGAACGTGCTCCTATTTCACTTCTTTCCCCTCCGTAATACCATTCAACAGACTACAGCCAGTGGTGTGAGCGCAGAGAGATGACGCTAGCGCAGAGGTAACGGGATAAAAAGTCCTTACCTTTAACATTTACATCTGTGTCGGGCAGCGCCAGGATGTGGAGTACTGTTTCCACTTGGTTCCTCTTGCAAGCTCTGTGGAGGAGGGTCTCTCCTTTGGCATGGACACAACAGCGACAGCGAGGAGGAAGAGCCGGAAGACAAGAGAGAAATCCAAAAATTAGGGTGTGACCGGCATCCTGCCCATTGTCCTTACCCATAAAACACAAAACACCAATAACATCGCTGATCATGTCCCCAAACGCTGGGAAGTCTGACCGACCAATGCGATTTAAGCAGTTTAATGAAAAAAAAGGAAGGAGATCTTTCAAGGGAAAAGGATGAGAATAAATTAAGGACGGAGAGCTAGGCTAGTTTGCCTGATTTTCTCGTCCCGCTCATAGGGATTCAAACTATTGTAGTGCTGAGAAAGTATTGCTCCTCCATGCCTCCACTTGCTCCGGTCTAAACTGTCATCAGGAAGTTATGGTACACAGCCCAAGCACAAAGCCTTACAAAAAGGATTCTTCACAGAGCCAAAGTTCAAAAGCATTCTCTTGGCATTTGTAAATCATCAAGTCAAAGAAATATCACAAGGAAAGGGTTAATTTAGTCAAAACAAAGCAAGTACCAATTTCAGCCTCTTTCCACATTCGTTTTCACGCTTTCAAGTATTTTAAAAGTCTTTATTCGTAATGCAATATTGAGTTTGGAATATATTAAAGAGTCCAAAGCCCCCCCTCTATTCATGTATGGCTGAACTTCAGAGGGAAGTTAAAGGCCAAGCATGAGTGGCGCTGTGCTCGCCAGTATAATACAGGACTGCAAAGCCCATAATAAATGCTTTACTAGCTCACCCCGGGACGCCACGCCTGTACAGGGGGCTCCACTCCAGTGCACTCAGGAGCAAAAGGTGGGGGCAAAAGAGAGGCGGATGAGGGAACCTAAAGATAAAAGGGCTAGAAAAGAGGTCTTCTTGCAGTTCAAAGATTTTTTTGAAAAACAGATTAAAAAAGTAAATGTTATTCAACCATGAGAGGTGCCTTTGAGGATCCAGAAGATATATTAAATGTCATGCCTTGGTGTTGTATAGAAAAAAGGACAACACAGAGACATTTTTAACAAGACAAGGATACGTTTCCTGTAACCAGATGCACAACCTGTCAATGCTCTTAAATTGCTCATATGAATAAAAAATTAAGTAGGAACAATAGGAACAAGTCCGATAAACTATTTAAACTGAACAGAGCAGATCAGATGTTTTTTTAAATCAGAATGATTTCAAAAACAGAAAATGTCTTTTCCGAAGACGTCTGGACACTGCTGAAGTGGCAGGGAAGATTCTCGCACTCTACTTGTTTTGTTCTTCTATATATTAGGTAATTCGTAGAAAGACTATGTTATAATTGGAACATGTTTCAACAGTAACTTTCTTCTTTGTCTGAAGCGTCTTGCGACGTCACATTGAAGTTGGGCTCAAATTGAAAGAACTAAACCAAGTCTAATCTGCGTTAAAGACAAGGAACAAATGAAAGAATGCTTTAGTTGTATGCATGAACTAAAGCTGCCTTCATGTCTCTGGTAAAGATGATCTTTACACCCATGATGTGTTCTGTTCAAGTGCTTTTTTGTCGTAAGTAAAACTAAACTGGTGGCAGAAATTATACCTCTTTGTGCCAATTGCTCAAAATTGGCAAAAAATGTGTCATTTACAGTAAAACTCTGACCATCTGCAGTAATTCTGCCACTGTCCACCATTTTAAAGGTGAAAGGTTATTTTATCTCGGCAACTCAGAGCTCAAAATGATCTAAACATAGAAAGACAAACCCAGATGAAAACATAACCTCCCTGGAGGAGGTGATAATTAGCACAACAAGAATTTGACATCTGTGCTGAGTTTAATCACAGTGAGTCTATTTTTTCAATCTTTGGTTTCATCAATGTCACATTTTTAGAAAACATTTTATTAAACACATTGGTTTCCAAACCAAAATGCCAAAAAGACAGAGGAAGGGAGCAGAAATTTGGCTTCTAATGAGTAAGTTGTACTGTGTGGCATGTCACTGTTCTACATGAACTGCTTTGCCATTACCAGACTCTAAAACGCAGTGATTAAACACCCATTCCACTACACCCCATGTGTACACATCCTCGCAAATGCCAGGGCCAATCCATGCACTGTTAAATCACTTTAATGGCTCCAATTTGGACACAACGCCTCTATTATAGGGGTAATTGCATGCTCAGCATTTACAAGCACGGAAAGGATAAATCTGCCTGTCCTTTTCTATAAATCCCCTGCTTCACACTTTAATAGAAAAGTTAAATGTATGTGTTGCTCTTTATGTCCTTCAGTCTGCTTGCAACACCCCAGTTAAGCGATGCTTTGCCTGCTGATTGTAAAGGTAAAGCCGTGTTATTCGTCCGTTTCCTACATTACTAAGAGATATTATTTTTGTGTCAAATATAAATTGTATTGTTTGTTACGTAAAAGTCTGGGAGTCCCTTCTCATATTGTTGCCACCACCACCAGGCCACAGAGAAGCTGTATAAAATGGATGGATGGATGTTTTATTAACCCTTTAGGCGGCAGAGTTTTAACAGTTTTAACATGTGCCTTAAGGGTTATTTTTAACCCATTGTATAATGCATGTATATTGTATAAGTAGCATAATGTTGCTTGTAATTTATTTGGGAAAAAGCTTTTAAACTGGAAGCCCTTTCTGACACACGGCAAGATAATTGTGTACGGAGAGCCTTCCCTTGTACTTTGGAAAAGTAGAGTGCACAAAGCTTGTCAAAGGCTGTGGTTTGAAAACAAAACTATATTTCTGTTACATTTTACTTATTTTCAATGACGCAATACAATTTACAATCATTTCTATTCATCAATTCTGTCTATTTTCTTGGAGGAGGATAGCTATAGAAAGCCCACTTAAGAACATACTATATAAAGTAATTAAATAAGCACAATAATATCTGAATCATCAATTTAGAATGAATGAAAATAAATGAAAAATTATTCCCAAATGGAAAAACAGGAGGGTGACAATGGTGTTGAATTTGGACCTTTGACAGAAAAGTTCAACCCGCTATATTGCCTGTGTAATAATATAAAATAAATAATTATGTATTGTAGAGGGCAAACCGTTGCTCATGTTTCCCACTTAACACGTAACTGAAAATAAACGATTTTCTTTCAAATTTCTTTAAAGTTCCGCAACTAGTGGAAATACAAAAATGACATTCCAAGTTATGGATGAGGACCGATAAAACTTTCTGAACTGAACTGAAAAAAGGGAAAAAAAAGAAGTTCATCCCAAATCCCTGAACTCCTCTATGCTTCTTTGACAAAGCTACCAAGAAGGTTCCAGGAGACGAGACAAAAGCTCCAAAGCAAAGAGGTGCAGCAAGCAGTAAGAGAAAAGCATTGAGCATACATACGATATGCAGGTGGAGAGCGTGAGCAGTGAGGTATGGAGGGAGAAGGATGAGAGGGCGAGAGGGGAAGATGCTGTGCCGATGGTTCATCAAAAATTAATGTGGACCGCATTGGTATAGGGCTCACGTAGTAGAAAAACAACACATGCCAACAGCCTTGAGTCTCCTGCCACAGTGCTCCCCCTTCTCTCCGTTTTACCCCCGCGCCCCTTCTTTCGCTCCGGCACACGGCCTTTCTGATCAGGTGAAGGGGGAGATATGAGCTCTGACACCTTAGAGAGTTCACACAGAGTACCATGCCTCTAATTGCAGGAAGTTCCACTAGTGCGACCCATTGTATATCTGCCGTGCTCCCCTAATTGCTGCAATAATATCCCCAAAATGGAGATCTGAGGCACACTGTGAGCACTAATGTGTGACACTGTTCAGTGTGGGAAAGCCCATTATTCCTGCAGCATTTATTTATCCAGTGGTGTTCAGGTGGCAAGTGAAAATGACAAAGAAAGCAAAGCAAATAGTATATATTAATACAAATAACAAAACAGCCCATGAGGTAGATTTATACAGATGAGTTAGTCTCATAGCTGACTACAGTGGAACAAATCAATCACCCCCACTTCATACATTACATGCGGTTAGATAAACAGAAAGTGATGACAAGGCTATCATTTACTGATGACCAAGTGCTGTGCATTCGTCCATTAAAAGTCTGCTGCTTGTAAATTTGCCGCTCTAACACCAGTCAGAGACATCTGCTCTCTACTGAGTCTTACCTGCAACATTGACACGTTTGAGGCCTTTCAGAACATTGCCTTTTTCAGAACAATTCTCATTGACTTCATATGATGGGTTTTCAAGTCTGTTGGAAGATAAATAAAAGTTCAATGCAATGTGACATGCAAATAGAATTAAACTAATCCTTTCAAGAATGTTGTTCAATGTTTGACCAAATGCAAAAAGAGAGACCCTGTACTGCTTAAACTAGAACCATCTCTGCAGTGTCATTAACAAATGAATGCAGCGCTTCAATATGATATGTGACAATATCTGTCAAACGCTAATACTGTGGGGCCCCACACACACACACCTTAAGTTGTCTCCAAAGTGTTTTTCCTCCCACTTAGCGCCTCAAGCCCAGAGATGCAGGATTCAATGCGAGCAAGCACATTAGGAAGAATAACTAGTAAAAGAAAGTGAAGCCTCTTCAAAGTAGTGGCGTGCTAATAGCTGTGGGCTGTCACTAGTCCTGTGAGTGTGTATAGGAGATCAGCCTGCATGGTGCCTGACAGGTGTCTGTGTGTATATGTGCTTGCATGTGCGCGTGCGTCTCATTGAAGCAGAGTGCCATCCGTATTACAGAGAAGAGGCTTGTTCCCTGGTAATTGGCTTGTTCAGAAGCCAGGAAGGAGCTCCCAGCAGTGAGGAGGAAACACACGTCCTGTCACGATGCTTGTTATTAGCAGGGACAAGGCTGAGAGGAGATGTGCTCTGTGTGGGTCTGCATAGAGTCCAGAAGTGTGTCTGGGAAGAGGCCACAGCTCTTTTATTCTCAGACCCAAGTATCCAACTGTAAAGGTATCAGACAGTACTTGGCCTCAAAGGTCCAGGTTCTGCCTCAGGTGGCCAACATGCAGTGAGGAAATAACCTTCTGTCCAGCATCAACATGTGCTCCAGCTGAAAGGTCTTGCTAAACTGTAAGCGATAATGAGTGCATCTCAGTCACTGTACATAAACAAATGCATTCCTTCCAATTTATCCAACTTCTTTACCTGGTCCTTCAATAGATTGGTCATGAACATAACCTATGGTTTATTGTCTTTTCCATAGGACCCATTCGTCTAAATCTCATACTGTTCAATAAAGTAAAGATAGAAAAGTTTATCTGACATGGTGGTTAAAGGAGGGAGGGGAAGATTTGGTTGAGTATGAACCTGTAGCCTTCTGGTGAACCTTCTCCCCAGTGACTCCTGCCCTTCTCCAGGCCAACTACCTGCTGGTGGAGCAGCAGATGTCTGATAGGGCTGTGCGCAGACTCTACTGTGTGTGTGTGTGTGAGAGAGAGAGTGCCTTCAAGACAGCAGAGGGATTTAGTATGCGAGACCTGATCAAGAAAGGTTAGGGAGGGGTGAGAGCCAAGAGCTGGTGTTTGTAAGGCAAGACACAAAGGCCTGATGGGATATCTGTATGTCTGTCAGTCTAGTGTCCAAAGCAGGGTGTGTGTATGTGTATGAAGAGGTCTAACCTCCCTGTGCACCCCTTCTGTCATTCCACACACACTGATAGGATCAAGACTGGGCATGACCCATCACATGCCAGCTCCTCACCCGCTGCATGACCTCCATTTGCCTGTCTCCCCTCAGTCGCTCCATTCATGCATCTGCACTCCATACCTCCTGCACCCTCCCTCACTATCCAGGTGTTCCTTTGTTCACTTCCACTCAGGTTTCTCCATACTTGCTTTTCAGTCCCCAAAACTAATCAAAATTACTAAAATGTGCCACAAGCCAAAAGTCCAAATCTATAACCCTAAGAACTATTAAGTTTGTCTTGCAAAAACTAAAAATAAAAAGACAAGTTCAAATTCTCGTGAAGCAATTATCAAAACAGACAACTTACCCATCACCAGTGTCTGTCATGACATGCCTACGCACACTGAGCCTGGCCTTATGCGGTGACTGACTTAGTATATCCAGAGCTGGTAGGTATTGCTGCATCTACAAATGCACAAAGCAGATAAGAAATTGTCTTTCAATGTAAATACAAGCCGAACATAATATTAAGTAGCACACAGACAATTTTCTTCAGACAGAGAGGGGCATCTCCAACAGAGGATCCATTCTCGTAGCAAAATCGTCTGAAAACGGAATCAGCTAAAGCCAGCTTCAGTCGACTGGAGATAATTTTGGAAACCAGTTCTGCCAGAAGTATTGGTGGCAATGCTAGAAAACACAATGACAATATTAACTAAAAGGTATATGTTAATCTAGTTTTTCTGTTCTTTGGCATACATTACATACTGCGACTGGCTGCAAAATGCTCAGCAAAATCGTTTAAGGCTTTTTTCACAAGAGGTTGGTTGAGTTTAAAGTTGTACTGGCACCAAAACTCAACCACTATAGACAAAAGGTCCGCTAGAGTGCCAGCCACATGAATGAGCTCCTCCTTTCCTGTCCCCTTTGAGTCTTCCTGTGCAAGAAAAAAAGATGTCATTATGTATTATTCAGCGAGATTGCAAAATAGGATCAGGCCAATATTTACTTTGATGTGTGTCCCATTTTATATTACCTCTAATGTAGCTTCAACCAACAGCTGAGTGAGTTGTTTCACAGCCACCGATAACAGAGTCGAGCGTTCCCAGACAGTCCAAAAGGTACCCAAAATCAAAGACCCTTTGGCTGATTCCCGTGGGTTTTCCGATTCCTCTCGCTGAAGGTGTACTCTAAGCCAGAGACATAATTGCTTTCCAACATACCGATTTATCATGAATGCACCTTTGTTAATGTTCTTACTCAGTGGTGATGGCATAGAGCTCTCCTTTAAATAGTTTGAGAATAAAGGCCAGGAGGTCACGGTGAAAATGCAACAGTGTTGGCAGAGCGGGTCCTGGGAGTGGATGACACGTGCAATCTCTCAACAGGCAATAACTGTGACACACATCAAGAAATGACAAATGTGTTTAACAAATTTGAATCTCCAATAGTAATTAGAAATGTAATATCTTATGCTACTTGTTTTCAAAATGCAACTACTCTTATATATTCTCTCTTATATACTTTTGACAATACAATATCCTAACTTTTTTTTTTTATCTTACCGAATTGCAGACTCTAGAAAAGGCCACAGTCCAGATTTACAACGGGGACACTGAAATACTTTGGAGAAATATTTCTTCACAAACTTTGAAGCCGACCAGGGAGGATTTGTAACCAGTAATCTGTGCAAGTACTGATTGAACATTCTTAAGAAGACTGACGTAGCATTGCCCTACAACAAGAAAATACTTATCTCACTAACAATCTTAACACTTAGTTATATAAATAAGTTATTATATTTTATACCATTCAAAATGTTATTACGTTATATAATATCTAATAATAATGCATCATTGGAGAATTTGGGTCCTACCTGTTGTGCATATTCAATGAGTGAAACTAGGTACGGTGCTGGTGGGAGCAGGCCTGGAAACAAGGCACTTTTGATGGAGTCAAGAGCTTCAACAAAGAGTCCACACTCTATCATTGTGGCAATCTGGCTAAAGTCTGCTTCTGTGGCCTACAAGAACAAAAGAACAATATGAAAATCAAGGGAAACATGTCCAAAAAGAATGAAAGAGCATCAAGAGAAAAAGGGGGCAGAAGGGTAATAGAAGTTGGAAGTGAATCACAAGTTCCATTGGGTCATTTCACGTAGACAGCTATTGGCAAAAACATATGGACTCCGAGGGAAGTAATGGAAATGCGTGAAATCATAGAATGGCAATCTTATGGAGATCCACCAGGGTAAAGTGTGGGCAGGACAGTGGAGGGTATTGTTAATAGGTATGCCAATCAAAACTTTCAGATCAGCTGACAGTAATGGTTAAATCTGTGACCTGGCTGCGATATGCCCTTGCTCTAGATGTCAGTTTCCATTGAAATGTATGACACAAAAGGTAATTGAATGACCTGATCTTGATGAAACAAAGTAATTTTAGACAGATGTCATGTGCTCATGGTGAACAGGGGAGGGGGGTGTGTCTACCTCAGACTGTGGGTAACTGTCATGGTAACTCTTTAATTCTAAATAGCAGAGACGGGGCCGGTACTACAAGGAAACAGAATAAAATCAATTCAAAAGATTCAATGTCACATATAAATGGAGCACAAATTAGACCTGTGGTACATCTACATACGTTTTGTTCGATAATTCGTTCTTTAAGTTCAATCTCAAACACTGAGAAGTCAACGACACCAATACTTCTTTCACGTTCAGTCTCATCCTCTGAGAAGTTGAAATTCAAATCCAAATATCTTTTCTGTAAAAACAATAAACAAAAATTTCAGCAGAAATAACTGGTGCATGTATATACAATACAAAATTATTTCCACTGTTTATTTAATTGTCACTTTTTATTGTACATAATATCCTGCACAGACTATATTTTTTTCTTATTCCCATTAACATATTTCCACAAATCTTGAGTGATTCTATCCATGCCAGATGTGACATGTAAATGTGTGAGATCAATAAAGTCCATCTTATCTTACTATAATAACTGTAGTATAGTATAGTAAAACAGCAAATTTACCACCAACAATCTATTTAAAAATCCCAAATTTAATTTCACTTACTCCAAAAAGGTGCTGCACAATGTGACTAACAGGGTAGCATGGAGCATCATAGGAAGTGGCATCTTCTGTAATGGGCTTGGCCAAGACATGCGTTATGGGAGCAACAGAAGGAGCACTGAAGTAAAAAACCTTTGCTTGTCCTGCTTTTAAAAGCCTAATGAAGGATTGTCAAATGAAAAACATTAGGGGTTCATACAAGACTACAAATAGTGGCATAGAGATGAATGCATCAACACACCGAGTAAACATGGCCCTGCGTGCTGGCTCCTGAACCATGAGTAGAACTTGCCATCCCTGAAAAGCCCCTTTCAACTTCCCACTAGCAACTCTTTCCCGCCACTGTCGTACAGGGTAAAAGGTAGACGTTGTACTTGTAGATATGGCCACCTCATATAATTCTTCTGGAAGCCAAGATCCATTTTGTACACTGTCCATAACATATTGTGGAGTAACAACCCACTTCCCTAAAAAGAAAAGATAATTAATGGGCGCTCATAACTATTAAAAATATGGTATCTTTTGGTTTGGGAAACGTCCATGAAATGTTACACTCAGCATAACACTCATATGCCATTGACTCTTTTTTTTTACCTGCAGCACATGCAGCCAGGAACTTTTCACTGGGTAAAACTTGTGGGACAATGACGTGTGTACTGGTATGTTGGTAGACCTGAAACATACACACACGACATCACATACGTTAATCATAGTGTATATCCGTTTGCTCTTTTGCCGTCATGCGTGTTAAACGTTGAAAAAACATTTCAACATCAGAAAAGCCACGCTCTTGGATTTATGGTGCAGGTAGCATGCAAACATCGTTAAATGTAGAGAGTTAGCGTAGGTGACACTGACAGAGAAAGGTCGCTTAATGGTTTGGGTTGAGATGAAGGTTCCACCAGTGGTATAGGTGGGGTTTAGCGTGCACACTGCACAGCCCGAACTAGATAACTATTCTGGATAGCTGTTCAGCATCTATTAACTTATTAGCATTATTATTAGCTATGATTAACTTTGAGAAACTTCATTGACGTATAGGAAGTGAAAGTAAAGGATTAAGCTATAGATAATAAGATGCCTGTATCTTCTTCATAGAGACAGAAGTTTGACAGATCATGTTTGCACATTAAAACAAAGGAAACCAACGAGGGCGATCAGACAGTCTGGCAGTCAACACTTCCCAAATAATGCAAAAAGGAGGTGTGTCAACATGGCACAACTTACTGAACCGCCGATATAATTTCCACCAAGTTTACGTATTCCATCTATTATTTTTTTCTTTATCTCTGGTTTCTTGATGCCAGATAACTGAAAGGCATAGCTTTCCTCTGCCATTCTGTAAAAGAGATAAATATCACGGATCAGAAACACACTATTCCTTTCACTCAGTAACCTATGAAGATTGCTATAATTACTTTCACAGAAAGTCAGTTTCACCTTGTAGCGTGTACATTGGGATGATTATGTTGAGAAACATGAATCCACCGCTCCACCCCAAACCCAGCCTGTTCCCGCGACGGGAATCACAACACAGCCAAGGGATGGGGGTTCATGTAAAGAGAGGGGGGGGGGATGACTGAAGAACGGATTATAATAAATACATAAACATATTCGATTTCTATTTATTTCACATATTTTAAATACGATTTAAACATATATACAACCAGTTCAAAACTAGTAACTCGTGATATCTTCAATGAGTCAGAGAATACACTTTCACAGACACAGCACCCCTCCACATTGTTTCTCAATGGACTGTTCTCAGAGGAAGCAAATTTTCAACATGTACTTCCGGGTTGTTGTCACGGACGCTTTCTATCCGGAACATAATAGTGGACCTGCATTTCAGCAGCACTGGGCTCAAATGTGCAAGCGTGTAGTTGAAACGATGTACAGATGTATCGTAAGGACATGTGTATTGTCAATTGTTGCGCTTTGGCTCCAGTTCATTCCAACCTCTCCCGTACCGTTCTTTATCGCTCACAATAAAGCCCGCTAGTTTAGCTTCCACAAATTATAACATAGTAGTAATGCAAACACCACTAGTGAGCTGGTCCTCGCTGCACATGACACTGAGAATAACAATATAATTCACGTTGAATCCTTGCGAAGATGCTGTCCCGAAGACGCGTTTAATGGTAAGGCTGTATCACAATATTATGATTACTGCTATTTCAGTCATTACAACACTAGCACCCAATGATTGCTAATGGGCTAATGGGCAGGAGGGAGTGCATTTCTATTTGATTAACGCCAAAAATCTCAATCAATCTGCTCGATCACATTTCACGCTACAACGTTATTATGTATTGTCTATGGTTACACCGCCTACTGCTGATGCATGTATCTGATCTAGCGGTTCTTTAACAGAGATACTGTATCTGTGGCTACTGACTGTTAGTTACTCGGTTTATAAGACTGTTGACTTTAACTTGACATGCTGTAAGTGGCTTTAAAGTGGCTGCCTGCGGGACACACTGCTAAATATTTCAGGACAAGCTCATTACTGTAAATGGCCCTGAGTGTGAGTCTAGCGAGGGGAGACAGGCAGCACCGGGAGAGATTGCTGTGTGATTTCTGAACACACGTGCGTGCAAGACATTTCTTTTTTCTTTTTAACCAACAGCCATCTCATGCCAGGCTTCGTGTCCCTGCTGCAACATCGTGTAACACTCTTGGGCTCCAACAACATCTGTTTTGTAAAGAGCTAATGACAAGACTGAGGAGACGAAAGGATTTAAAGTGTAGTACTAATGAGGCCCAGTGTGCTGCTGACAGAACCCCCTACTTAGATGTACATATGCCTCATGTCTTTAGTATACAAAGGTTGGTAGACCAGGAGGTATTAGAGCCCAATTGACTTACTACAATATGTTATATGTATATGTTAGTTACAGTAGTTGTCCATCTGGTTGATGACAAATACAGCTCGGCAGGTCTATATTCAAACCTGCTACAGCTATACATAATGTTTTCTTTATTGTTATGTAAACAACTTTGAGTTCCCTTTGCTATGAACTGTACGATACATACTCGCCTTGCCATATCAGACTTCATTAAACAATGGATTAGTTTTTGTTTATTTTCAGTTAATTCTGTAGAGTGGCAATAGGGGTTATGATGATGAGTGGAGTCAATGGAAAATAATGAGCTGGAGAAAAATAATAAAAGACTTAACTGGTGCAGCTGTCAGTGGAGCAAAATAATATTTGTTCAGCTGTATAGGCATCCGGTTGTGGAGGATAAATGAATCTTAACCTTCCTGAATTCCCTGTCAGCGAGCAGTGCCATGTAGTAGCCAAGACTCAGCATAGAGTTTGCAGCTGTACAAGGTTGGTTAATTAAAAAAACAGTAATGCAGAGAAAGTAGCAAGATATTGTTTTTTGTTTTAGTTTTTTTGTCATTTTAATTTAAATATGTCCTCTCTGCCTTTTGAGTTAGCTCTGAGCTGCTGGTTTGGTCAGGTTGACCTCAGCAGGAGGTTTCCCTATTGTGAATGTTTTGGGATGGTGGAGGAAGTCAGACATGGAGAGAAACACGAGGACTCCCCAGAAAATACACTCAAGAAAAGGAGTTTTTATCCAGTAATACAAGACTTCTCTTCTCTAAAAACACCCTCACTCTATAACTCAAAGGAAGGAAATTGAATGGCATTATTTTAAGTGCATGTAACTTAGACTATACTGTAATGAAACAAAATCAAACATGATATTAACATGTTAAAGATTTGAATTTAAATCTCATCTTGTATTAGAATCTGATTATTTATTTATATAATATTTACCACAAATAACCCATCAGAAATAAGTAACATAGATTAACTCAAAGTCATAAGAGCTGTTCTTACTTATTTTGTAGCTAAATGGGACATGGAATCACATGAAGATTCCAATGAAGACAATCCTTTGGTGGATCAACCACTTATGGGGAAATCTATCAAGCTCCTCGAAAACTTTGAAGACAAGCCCAAATTAAACTCCAACAGGTAAGTTTACAAACGATTTTCTTTTTGAACAAATAGTTTTATAAAAATATCATCAATTGGATTAAACAAGCACAAACGATGCGGACAGACAGACTCTTGTGTATTTGGGGAGACTAGGGCAGTGGCAGTGGATTGTTTTGACTAGATGGATAAAGAGTGACACGTGGGGAGAAGTGAGAAGGGGATCTATATTTCATATCTTTTATTGTGTGTGGCGTTGCGAATCTGGGGGCAGATGATGAAGGACAAACTAAATGTAACAAGTGAACAAAGGCTCACTCTGGCACCATTAGTGTCTGCCACTCGTCCCTTCCACACTGTCTCCCTCTTCTGCCCTTTATGTGTCTTTCTTTCCTTCCTCCTTCTAAATGGGAACATAATAATTGAAGATTCCACATCTTGAAACGAAAACCCTTGGGTAGGTAATTCAAGGCTTATTACCGAAGGCTAGACCATTTTTCTGCTTTCTAAGCATTAAAGGGTTATTTTGTGTTCCTGTAGATGGGAGAGGGGTAACCATTATGAGAACAAAGCGTCCAGACAATGGAGAATGGGGCTAAAAATAAGGCAATCCTTCACTCGCTGTGGGGAACCACTGGTCAGTGTCTATGTCTATGCTTCAGGTGAGCCCTGTTGAGGAAGGTCTAGGGTGCTTCACGCCAGAAAGGCCTGTTGTCTCTGCAACACCAACCTTGGACGAACTACAGAAGTTGGCTTCTCAGCTGTCACAAATTTGTTACAGAACTACATGCTAAATGAGAGAGATTAAGATTGGACAACAGAGCAAGCTTAGAGTTCCAATAGATTCCAGAAGATGGTATGTGGACTTTGTGGTGAAGAGCAGTGGGCCAAGCTAACCCTAACCCTAGGAAAAAAGAAAAACTTGTAAGGATGTGACAGCATGCCTGCAAAAAGGGCAATGTCTTCACATTACTACTACAAATGGTTCTCACTAGCCGACCTGCCAAACTTGATCAGGCTTCAAAGTCAATGCACGAAATGTGTGCTCATGTGTGTATCCAGATAATCCAGATAATTAGGATTTAGGTAATATAGGTGAATCCAAAATCTTTTATGTCTATGGTTCCCTTTCATTGAATGGATACAATTCTCTGTAGTCTTACCAGTATGTAGGTGATTTTGTGTTCAGCAGCCCGTGGCTCGTTTGTGAAGTATATCAGTTGTAGTATCTCTTCTCCTATATCACTGGCTGGGCTGGGCGGCGGGGCAGCTCTGGGGCGAGGGCACTAAGTGGTCAGGACGGGATATGTTTTCAGCCTGTTCATTCAGACAGTCTTCCCCCTCACAGAATGAAGGCCTTTGATAGAAGAGATATTTAGTTCTAATGCGCTTGGTGTGGCATTGACTGAGACTGGAGCTTATTTGAAAAGGATCTTCCAGCCCCCGTTGCCTCTGACTCCCCTCCTCCTGTTTGAGGGTAGGGGAGCGCAGCACGACAGACAGCCCACCCACACTAAATTAATTCTGACAAGGAACTTAAGATAACGTCAAAGCGCTGACTAATCGCAGGATTGGGTTTCTGTAAGTCAGGGAGCTGTGAAATGTGCCATCATATCTAATAAAAGACCTCCGGTTGCTCCTATTCTTTCAACCATGGTGTTTAGGGGCTGCCTACTTGGTTGTTTCATTCAAGCATTTCATTCAAAATGATTTACACTATTATAATGGCAGTTGTGATTGATGTATTTCAACACTTACTGTAGTCACAAGACTAACATTTGAGTACGTCATTTTGATACTATAGGGAATGAGTTGTGTATTTGATGCACATTTGTTTGCCATTCACAATTATAACAAACCATGATGGTGGAATACATAAACAAAAATAAATTGATAAATAGTTCAATATATGATTCTATCCTATGTATAGTAAATATGGAGTACCTACAAAATAAACATATAATAATCCCTTATTCAGCCAATCAGCTCTTAGCCCTAATCATCAATAGTGACTCACAGGGCTCTTTAAAACAATCATGCAAAAAAAATTTAGGGGTCTGGTTTGTTCACAGCAATTTTACTTTAATAAGACTTTTTGTTTCTTTTTTTTTTGGGGCGGGGGGCGACAGTGGCTCAGTTGGTAGAGCATTGGCCTTAGAGCCTGAAGGTTGTGAGTTTGAGCCCACCACAAGACCTACTTCACAACTCCCACTGATGACTGTTGTCGTTGTGTCCTTGGGCAAGACACTTATCCCCACTTTGCCTGAAGCCCCCGCTGAATAATCAAGGCTCCTGTGGACTCACCACCTGCAGGAGGATCAGTGAGGGGCTGGTGCTCTGTGAACTGGGTTCAGCTCTGACTGCCACCCCCCTGACCCAGAAATGGATTAAGGGGAAGAAAATGGATGGATGGAAGACTATTTTTTCATGTTTATTTTATATAGCATACACATTTCAATCACTGACACTCAAAGTTACTCCAGAACACAAGGCATGTTTGTCAAGAGGCTTAAAGAATCCTTTCCTTGTGGATTTCTCTTAGTCTTTCCCCAATCTTGTGCTCTCTTATTGAGTCCTGTTTTCCAGTTTTTGCTATTACTGATTCGTCCATTGTTGTAGCACCTCACACGGTAGAATGGCTTTATTTGCTGTGAGCTCTGACCATTTTTAGTTCCCCTCTTTCTTCCTTTCTAACCCCTGTCTATTTTGCGGGCGTCTGAGTTACAGGCAGTGGAAGTAATCAGGTTCGGGGCTAATCCTGCCAAGTTGATTAGGCTGCAGGTAGCTTTCACGCTATAGCGGCCAAAAGGTCACAACATGGAGGCAAGCTGATGGACTTCTTGACACACACTATCCACATTGACTTTATGACTTACAGTGCCAGGCCCTAAGGAGGGTTATTGAAAGGGAGCTAGGAGAATTAGGTGATAGTTACTTTCTTGAGGGGAAAACAGAAGCCTGAACAGCTGAGAATGGACCTTTGGTGGTTGAAGTAGTGTGTTCTGTTAATAGTCAGTAAAGCTGTGGATATTTTACCATCCTAAAAAGTTATTTTACATCCACATCTATGAATCCAGACGGTCTCATAGCGACAGTTTCCATCCTCTCTTCGCATATGGCAAAAATCCCTCTGATACCATAGAAAAAGCAGTTTAGTTTGACCTCTACTTTGTTATAAAACTATCATGTAAAAAAATAGAATGATCTAATTACATTTTGTGTTTTAATGAACTTTGTTGAATAGATTGGTACAGATGGAGGCCCATTTGAAACCTGCTGTCTACGTGAAGTCCTGGGGTGGAGCCCAGAACACACATCCATGTTTATGGGGTACAATAAAGGAGAATACAGGGCTCAAAATTACTTATCTTGTAAAGTTGATTCTATACCTTACCTTTAGTCATTTATTTTCAAAATGAAATAGAATATAAACCAGTTGTAGCCGACCATAGAGAAACAGATTGATTTGATGATATTAAATTTAAAACATTTTATTCTCTTGAGGTTTTGCCTTCTGAAAGCATAGTGTGTCAGATTGAATAGTTATTTAATGTGTTGTCGTTGTAAGACATCTGGATACTTTCATGGCCCAGAAGCAGGCAGGAGGTATTTTATTGGCTTTGCTGGGGGGTGCCTGATGCGAATGTATCTGTATCTTAGATAGTCACACATGCAAAATCATTTAGTTTTATTTATCTTTGTATTTATGAGTTATTAGATAGTACAGTTAGTTACATGTATTTAAAACCAGACCAAACCAAATCCCCAAATAAGACATAACCATTGAATCAAAATGTTGGATCAAAATCAAAAAGCCTTGAATCAAGTGCAATTATAGCTCCAGAATTTTGTTTTTTAGTATTTTATTATTGTATTATCCTAAAAAATAGATCCTGTTTGATGTGTACATAACCTAAGTACATATACATAAATACATAATAAAAAAATGTAATCTTTTGTAATCAATTATTCATTAGTTATATTTGAATCATGTCACATTTCTGCCTGTACACATTCTCCCCTCATGCACACTTTATACTACAAGATGGCACGCAAATATAGTTCTGGCGCACCCGGTTGAATGTTTTAATTATGCAAGAATGTAGATATGTTGACACACGCAGACACACCGCCGTACATCGGGGGAAACGTATATGCCCTGATTTGCATGGAAATGACTAAACATGTCAGGCCCGAAGATGTCATTTCTAATCTGTCATATTAAGGAGGTAGGCAGAATAGCTGATGCAGTCTGTTAAAATCAAAAGAGCCGTGCTGCTCTGTATGTGTGTTGTAAAATAAGACGTAATATGCTGAGGGTGCCTGCGATGTCTCGAACACCACTTCACACCAGATGCTTAGCAGGCACTCATACTCTGTTATATCCACATCGATGTTCATTACTGTTGATGCTGCTGCGCCTGTCCCTTTACAGTGTGAGTGAAAAGTGACACTTCGGTCGATGTGCATCTTTAATCTGGTAATTTTGTGTTGCTTTACTGGCAATTTGTCTAGTGCTTTCATGTTTGCAAGAAGCACTTGGTTGTTCAATTGTCTTCTTTCTACAAATGGTATCTCAAAAACAGCTAAAACTTTCAATCCACATTTGATGCAGCCTTCTTATGGATGGTACAATATGGATTTCTTCCCTCTGCCAATATTTATCTGATATAGTGTTGTGGTCAATGATTACTGGTAGTTGCCAATGTCATTGAATATATTCAGATAATATGATTTAATTATTGGCCAAAAAATAGAAGAAGTAAAGTTTTGTTTCACATAACATAAATTCATATAATACCTCTTATTTAATATTCTTCCATCTCAAGGCCAAAATCTGTGACTATACCACTTTTGAAACTGGAAGAAATAATCTTGCTCATCGTTCTCTTCCTGCCTAAGTGTTCCTTTTACTGTTTACAGCATCACATTAAAAGAGCTGCAAACCCAAATTGAAGACCTTCGTTCAGAAAGCCCCTCAAAGTCCAGTGAGTGTCTGAAATGGTTTCCTTTCAGAATGCACTTCACGTCTGTTGATACGAGAGATCAAGATCAGCTAGACTTCCTCAGGGCTCTGGTAAGAAACAAGATGAAGACTTGCTTGACGTTTTGTGGCACTAACTGAAGCTTGTTGACAGTACTTGAAATGGTTGTAGACACGTGTTTATTATTTGCATTTTTTCAGCAACTTTACTTGAGGTCTGAAGAAGATGGCAAGGAGGTAGTGACATTAGAACTGCTAGTGGATATTTCATCCCGTTGTGGAGTCTTCTTTCCACATACCCCGTCTGCTTCGTACTCTACTGTGTCTCAGCTTCAACTCCTCAATACAGTTCGAGATGAATCATCACTCGAGGTAGGGTGAATTAAATTATGTTTCCTAAAAACATGCCACATACCCAGAGTTGCCAACTTCTAAAAAAAAAAAAGAAAAAGAAGGGAGATATGATCAGGAAATATCACAATAATTATATAATTCACTGTAAAAATGTGCTGAGAAAAATCTTCAAAACTGCCCAAAAAAATGTCTATGTGCATGTGTTTTTGGACTGTTTTGGACTGGACAGCCCTAATGGCCATTTGGTGTCTGGGTGGGGTATGGCACAATTCTGAGATACTGTTTGGACAAAGTATGCCCAACTATGTTTTGAAGAAAAAATTTAGGTACCCCAGCTTAAACATCAACAGAACCGCGGGGTCTGTTGTGTCTGGTACCGCCCCCTTTGACATTCACCAGCTGAAGAACAGACGTTTAAACCAATCGTGTGAAGATAGGATCAAGTGAGTGACGGGTGAAAGACAGAGAAAAATAGAAAAAGCCATTTCATATTGATTGCTGTGCCAGTAAAAAAAAAGAGACAATTCCGTATTTAATGGCGACATTAGCTAGCTTGCATCTCTACAGGTCCTGATGGTGCCACTTACAGGGGGCAGACCTTCTACCAGAAAAGTTGTTTAGTGTGCCGGAAATATTAAACATTGGGTTAGGGTTAGTGATAATGATGATACATCTTATATTCTTACTCTCATTTTTAGATCCAGACTGTTTGGGATGATGTGCGTCTCCAGCTGCGCCGCCACCTGCTGGATCGGATGTCATCTCAAATATCAGAGAATTTAGAACCAGCAAGCGCTTCTAACCCTTCAATCTCTGAACGGATCTATTGTCTCCAACACATGTCTTTTCTTTACCCTGAATCAGAAGTGTTTTCAATTTATCAGGTAAAGCCAACAAAAATCTGCATTCAAATGCAAGAAAATCCCTTCCCCTTTCTGTTAGATCCTTCAAATGTTTGTCCTGTTGAGCGAACTGTCTGACTTGAAATGTGAAAGTAATTACTATATGTAAAAGGGCCACCTACAGTATGTTAACCAGATTTGACAACCCAGATAGTGATATGGATCCCAGATGATGATTTGACTTGATCCAGGCTGTTGTTCTGAGCTTTACAACTTTGGCAAAATAGGCACATTGATCACCAGCTACATAAGCACTATATACGGTATTTTCTACCACAATAAAAATACTCAATGGCTACTTTTTTAGAGGCCACATACAATGAGATCGTGGGCTGCAATTGTCCTGTGGGATGGACTTTGGGTTTGTCCTAAGAGAAACTGCTATTTGAAATGCTGAAATTTACTTTGTATCACTGTATGTTCAGATCCTTAGGAGCCAATTCACAGAAACTCTTTTCCACTCGACCATAAGTTCCTGTACAAGCAGCGGTGGTGAAACCGGCTTTGACAGACTGACCGAGGGCTTCCGCTGTGTGATACCTCTCCTGCTCCAGGCTCTCAATGAGGAGATCCATGTCCTCTCACACTCAATGGATCAGCACAGCATCCTGGGCTTTCTCAATGCAGCTTACCTCGACACTGTAGTACGAGAACTGTCCACTCTGATGGAGAGAGA